GAAGGAAGGAAGGAAGGAAGGAAGGAAGGAAGGAAGGAAGGAAGGAAGGAAGGAAGGAAGGAAGGAAGGAAGGAAGGAAGGAAGGAAGGAAGGAAACTAAGTTCGTGTATTCGAGGTAAATACACGTTATTTTCACTTTCAAATGTTTGTGTATGCGTGTTTATGTCTTAACGCTGACTTGATGCTGCAGTATTGCACAGCCCGCTCACCGGCACGGATCGCCCACAGATGCCTTTCTGTAAGTTGTTTGGCATTTCGATTTAAATGCCCCATCCATCCTTCCTCTGTCACTGCTCAGTTTACGACTCAGGGGGAGTCGCTTTCTCCTGTTTCTTCAGGCCGGGGTTGCCCGGGGGGGCAGGACCGCGCTGCCGTGCCGAGCCGCGGGGCGCCGGGAGCCGCCAGCCGCGCTCATCTCCGCGGAGAACCGCCTCCCGGCGGGGCAAAACTGCCTTTCCAACTGTGTCCATCCTACCAGTTCCCTCCCGGAAAAAAATGACTGAAAACTGGTTGTCAAAAGGAAAAAAGTTATTGCCCATAAACTCCCCAGCGCTGCCCGCGGCCCGTCCTCCCGCGCCCGGCTCTGGCTGCGGGACTGGCCATGGGCCACCCCAATTCCTGACGGCTCCCAGCCCGCTGGGAAGCTGCCCGGCAGCTCGCACACACCTGAGGACATCGGGTTCCTGGCTGCTTCCGAGGCAGGGCACACGGAGCTGTGCCAGCCTCCTCCAGCTGGGCGCGGGAAGTCCTGGCGAGACCCAAAGCCATCAAATACGGCGCTTTTCCTCAGCTTCCAGACCCGGACAAAGGCGAAAGAGGCAGCTTGGAATTAATTTTTTACTTTATTTGGAAATCTCATCCAGAAACACTGGTCAATAATAAATATATCGATAGTTATTATCAAGAATATATAAAAAATAAAGACATGGTGGTGTCTTTGAGGCCCCAACCGAAAACAAACGAACGAAATGAAGAATAACATTATTTCAAACAATGTCCCAGGAAAACACATCGAAAAGGAAATAAACAGCAACAAACCTTCTGATTTAGATATACAAATCACCGACCTGGCAAGAACTGACCCGCATGCAAAACCCAACCATAACAAAAAAAAAAAAAATTTAAGAAAACAAAAACAAACAAAACAACAACAAAACCAGCAAACGCTAATAAACCCAGAGCCAGCAACAGAAATTTGTGCTCCAGACAGCTAAATCAACACACTTCACCGAAAGGAGGAGATGGGAGATTTGGCAAAATAGATCTGCTGGAGGGTTGTGCTGTGTTTTGTACTATTTTACTCTTTTTTGTTTTATTTCTTTTTCTTTTTTCTTCACAGAGGGAAGAAGAAAAAACTACCGCAAAAAAACCAAAAACAAAACCAAAAAAACCCAACCCGCATAATAACAAAATCTGCAAAAACAAAACAAACAAATCAAAACAAAAAACCACCAAACCACAAAAACCCCAAACCATAAACCACACTCGAAAACTTCAGTGAATTCCCTCGGAAGTCCCTGTTGCCAGGGGAGCCGCCTGTGGCCGGTCCCCACTGGTGACAAGCTGGGGCGGAAAGCATGCACGCACTCTCTGGTCTACCTTGGGCCGCCACTGCGCTTCCACAGCCAGGTTTGGAGCGGGAAATTTCGGAGGTGTCGCCGTGCACAAGGAAAGAAAGGAAAAGCCCGGGGGAAAAAAGAAGGGGGAAAAGCCCCAAACCGATTTCATCGTCTCTTGGTAGCTGCGAACACTACAATGACAACCATGTCTTTTTTTTTTTTTCCTTTTACATACATTTTAAGGAATCATTTACATTTGATTACCATCAGCGGCATTATTATTATTATTATCATTATTATCATCATTATTATTATTATCATCATCATTATTTTTACAACAGGGACTTTTTTTTCCAGTTTAGTATAATAAGAAAACATCGCCCGAGAAGCCGGGTGGAACATTACCTTTGCAAGGTCCTTACTACACTAATCCCGTGTTACAGGGGGCTTGGCGGGCGGGGGCAGCGGGGGCAGGTCCGTCGGCGGCCCGGGGGGGACCGGCCGCAGCCCCCTGTCCGTCGCTGGGAGTGCCGGCTCCGGCGCAGCCCCAGCGGCCGGGGGAGCCCCGCCGAGTCACTTCAGGAGGTCCTTGGTCTCCCCCGAGATCCTGGCCATGTTGGAGGCGGTGAGGGCCGAGAGGTGGGGCGGGGGAGGCATCTGGCAGATGGTGCAGGGGCACGGCAAGCCAGCCCAGTGTTGGAAGCCGCTGCCGAGCTGCAGGGCAGGGGGTGTCGAGGGGGTCTTGAGCAGGGAGTGTGGGGGCCGGATGGTGCCGATGGCCGGCAGGGAGGCGGAGAGGGAGGAGGAGGTGTTGGCGGAGGACAAGGCACTGCCGAGAATGGGATGCACCTGGTGCACAGTGCCGGCGGCGTGGGGCGGGTGCCCGGCGGAGTGTCCCACCGTGCCGCAGTGAAAGGCCGAGTGGTGTCCCCCGTAGATTTCCCCAACTAGCCTCTTCATCTCCTCCAAGGAGCTGGTGAGCATCAGGATATAGTTTCTGGCTAGCAGGAGGGTGGCGATTTTGGAGAGTTTTCTCACAGAAGGTCCATGAGCGTAGGGCATCACCTCCCGCAGTCCGTCCATAGCGAGGTTTAGGTCGTGCATCCTCTTACGCTCCCGGCCGTTGATCTTCAGTCGCAGCTGCTGCAGGTCCTGCTCCGAAAGCTGCTTCTTGATTTTGTACTTGCTGCCTTCCCCTCCAGTCTTGGAACCGTTCCTGGTGAGGCCTTCCCCAGACATCTTCTGCACCAGATCGTTCTGAGTGGAGGAGACTGAGTTGAGCCGGCTGTCTTGGTGGTGGTGATGGTGGTGGTGGTGGTGATGGTCTCTCAGGTACATCTCATCCATGTCTGGCGAGGAAGCTCTGCTGGAGACAGAGCTAGAGTCAGAATTCATTGTATTCAGGCTTCTGAGCAAGAAACTCTTCCCTGCTCTGGACGTGACAAGACCACTCTCCTTCAAAAAGCAACAAAAACAAAACGAAAAGGAAATAAACGGACGGCAGGGTCTGCCAGCGAAGGGCTGGAAATGTTGGAGGAAGAAGAAAAAACCCCCTCAGCCGTCTCTCTCTCCAATGTCTCCTTCTCTCCCTCCTCACCCGGTTACTCAGCCTGTTTACAGGATGGCTACTTAGTGTATGCTTGGACTAACCTCAGCTTGAAAAAGAGGGGCTTTTATAGAGCTGCAGCAGAGAGCAGAGACAAAAGGAGCCCTCCTATGTATAATGGTCTAGTTAGGATGACGTGCCATTATTCAGGGCGGTGCGCTTTGACTGTCCCATTTAGCAAGGACCCCTATTCATATTCATTGTGGTGCCACCCGGGACACCTCAGCCACGGACCATCAGGAGTCAAGGAGACACAAAACCCTTCTGATTGACACCGCACACTCATCGCTCCGTGTGCGCGCCTTCTCCTCCCCCTGCCTCCTCATTTCCAATATAAAACCTCATCCCGTCTACAGTAGGGAGGCAGGGGGCTGCGAGGGGCTGCGTGCCTGAGAGGGGCCGGCCAGCAAACCCCGGTGGCGGGCGGCAGCGGGCAGAAGCAGCCCGAGGAAGTCCCTCCGCCAGGGCGGGAGGGGTTGGGGGACGTTGGTCGCCCCCGTCCTAGAGCATGCCCGGCTCCACGCTTTGTTTGCCTATCCCTCCCACTTTTCCTGTCCCCCCCGGCCGGGGCGTGTGGTGTGGCACCGGCTGGCCCTCGCTTGGGAGGGCTGGCTGCAACTGCCTCGTACCTGAGTAGCCGCTTTGTTTAAATGAGCGATGAGGATTCGGGCATCAGCCGCGGGAAGGTGCGGGCTGAGAAACCCGCCTCCCCCCGGGCCAGTGACTCCCTTTAAATAAACGGGGAAAGCCAGGGTGCGGCGGCAGACCGGTGTGCTTGGCGGCGGGAGGGGTGGCCGGCAGCCCTGGGGCTCCGCTGGCCTCGGGCTCCGGTGGAGGGGCGGCGCGGCGGGGCGGCCGGAGCCGCCGTCGGTGGGACCGAGGGGGCCGGGCCGGGCCGGACGCAGGCGGGAAGGGAGCCGGCTCGGGGGGCAGCTCTGCAACCAGCCCCAGGCGATCGCGCCAGTAAGTAGAGGGGTCCCGGGCACCGGCCGCAGCCAGCGGCGGAGCGGGGAAGGGAGATGGGTGCGTGGGGCCGAGCTGATGGGGGCTCGGCCGGGCAAGGCGGGCGGGGCACCCGGGGCGGTGGTCGTCACCTCAGCTCTCGGCCGAGCTCCGTGTCTGCCTCTGCCCCAGGCGCGGACTGAACTGGCGTGGCCGCCTGCGACATCTCTCGGGATGGGGAGGTGAGAATTCCACTGCGGGGACGGCGGTGGGAGCAGCCTTCGTGCCCGGGGAAGGGCGTGTGGTCGCCCGCCGTATCCTCCCAGCCCCGGCGGTGCGTACGCCATGAGTGCGGGGCTGTCAGACGGGACAGGACGGGAGCCACCCGCGCCGCCCGGAGCTGGCCCTGGTGTCTCCCTCTCTCTCGAGAAACTGACTGGCTGAGTGTCCACTTTCCAAAAGGTGCATAGGGGCTGGTAGAAATCTCAGCAGGAATTCGTTCCTTCAAAGTGTCCATTCCCCGAGGAGGGCGAAGAGTCAGAAAAAGAGGGATATTTTCGTCCGACTGAGTTTAACTGTGGTTAATCTGCAGAGCAAAATTAAAGCTTTCGGATTCCAGCACTGTCAGTAAATCCTGCGGTGAGAAGGGAAGAAAAGAAAAGAAAAGAAAAGAAAAGAAAAGAAAAGAAAAGAAAAGAAAAGAAAAGAAAAGAAAAGAAAAGAAAAGAAAAGAAAAGAAAAGAANAAGAAAAGAAAAGAAAAGAAAAGAAAAGAAAAGAAAAGAAAAGAAAAGAAAAGAAAAGAAAAGAAAAGAAAAGAAAAGAAAAGAAAAGAAAAGAAGAAAAAAAAGAAAAGTTTAGGGGAGTGCATCATAAGTAACTGCACGCGATCTCGGCTTTGTCACGCTTTCACTGTGAAAGCCGTAAACCGCCCCGGACTTCACTAAACTGACAGGTTTGCCGGCCATAAGGCAGGAAAATCGGCCGGGCCCGGAGTCCACAGTGCCGTCCGACCCCACAGAGCCGGGCGCCTCCATCTCCGCACCCTGCAGAGCCGCTCTCCTGGTGGTTCCTGGGGGCTGCCCGCTCCTCCCTGCGTCCTTTTCTCCCGTAGAGCTGGAATGAAGCAAATAAACAAGAATTGATACGGTGACGGCGGCAGCGGCACAAAAGCGGGCAAGATCGGGAAAAAGCCCCGGTTTGGAGGCTGCTCGAGGGGCTATAGCTCCCACCTTTCGTCCCCGCGTCCGCCGCTCCGGAGCAGACGCGCAGCTTGTTTTGGGAAAGTTCAAGTCCGACGGGGACAGAGAAGAGGAAGGCAAAAAGATGCTGTCGGGGGACAAGCAACAGGAGGGGTCCTGTCCTCACCTCCGGCAGGGCGAGCTGCTCCTGTGTGCTCCGCTCACCTGCGGGCTTGGGGTTTCCTCGGGATGGGGCCGGGGGACGATGCCGGACTACGGAGCCGCCGGTGCACTAGAGGGGCTAGAGGGGCGGGAAGACAAGGTGGGCTTGTCACTCGAAGGAATATTACTAACAATTTTCTCTCCCTTTCCCCGGGGATGTCTCTGCTTCCCAACGCGCTTGTGTGGCTGTGCGGGCCAGTCGCGCCTGCACTGCCGCAATATCTCCCTCACGGGACGGGGCGGCTGGACTCGGCTCCGCTCGGGGTCGCCTTAGGCCAAAGGAAGGAGTTGGGAAAGATACACAAGGTTAAATCCCGAGTGCAGGCAACGCCGCCAGGAAAGTCGTTTCGGAAATAAGCAGCCTTTCTCCAGCTTGATTGCTGGTCGTAACACTGCCTGAAACGTCCAGCCTTCCTCGCTGCTTTCCTTTCCAGCCCTAAAGAAAGAGGATAAGATAGATGAATAAAGGAAAGAGACACAGATAAAAGGAGAGGGAAAAAAAGAGAAAGAGACAGAGAAAGAGAGAAAGAGAGAAAGAGAGAAAGAGAGAAAGAAAGA